CGCCCCGCGCCCGCGGGGTTCTTGCCGGTCGGCGTAGAGCATAGAGGAGGAAGTGGCAACCCAGTGGGGAGAGCAACGCGTCGGAACGCAGGGCGCCCGAAGGGCGCCCCGCTCTCGAAGGTCTATTTGGTCCACGAATGGGACGAATGGGAAGGTCGATCGCAGTCACGGACTGCGCCCCCGCCATCCGTGCCATTCGTGCCATTCGATCCATGCCATTCCAGACCTGGAACCCTTATAAACTGCTCTAATATAATAAATCGAAAAAATCCATTCCAGATGCAGTTTATACAAAATAGCATGTTGTACTTTAGCACTGTCGTGTCTTTGTAGTTTCACGTACAACTCACTGTTTTCCTCGTAGGGTTCTTCTCTCATGGCATTCCTAGTCCTGTGCTATATCAAACTTTCTAACGATGAGCTTAGTCCTCCTGGAAACTGGCTAATCGATTCCGAGCTAAAGCGGCCATAGTGACTTGTACTACTTAAATTGAAATGTGAACAGGGACCTCTTGCTAGGTAAATGAATGAATGAAAATATTATAAGGTCTATGCGAGCTGTGAAACCTTATAAATTGCTCTGCTATAAGTCTATGCGAGCTGTGAAACCTTAATATAAATTGCTCTGATAAATATAAGGGCTACCTCTAACTTTTCAATTTAAACGTGGCCACTAGAATTCTACTAGATATTTGGAATACATGACCTTTTTGAATTTTTGTTTGCTAGTTTGGAGTGCTCCACCGACAATATAAGGGCTACCTCTAACTACTTCTAAAGTGAAATTATAAGGTCTACCTCTAACTACTTCTAAAGTGAAATTATAAGGGCTACCTCTAACTACTCTAAAGTGAAATTATAAGGTCTACCTCTAACTACTTCTAAAGTGAAATTCTAAGGTCTACGTCTACCTCTAACTCCCTGTCGTGTCCATTTGTGGCGGATAGGAGGAGTTTTCTCACCCGAGATGTATTTGGGTGAAACGCTCTTCCATATACCTTCTGGTGCACCTCTCCGCAAGGAGACGTTCTCATTACACCGAAGCAACGACGAAAATGAGGTACTTACTTACAACTGTTTGGTTATGGTTGGTTAAGGTACTTACAACTGTTTCCTTTACCTTGTTTGGTACAACTCTGTTTGGCTATTTACCTTCTTTTTTACTCTAGTGCCTGCACCTACTTAGAACCATCTTTTGTACAACTGTTTCCTTTACCTTGTTTTTTACTCTAGTGCACCTACTTAGAACCTTTTTTGCCTGTTCAACGTGCTCAACAAGATAAGATCAAGGGTCATTGGAACAACCGTCTATACACTCTAGAAGTGCCTGCACCTACTTACTTAGAACTACCATCTTGCTAGTAAGACTCTCTTGTGGGACACCTACTTAGAACCATCTTGCTAGTAAGACTCTCTTTTGGGAGGTGCGACTGGTTCGCTTTACAACACTGCGAACTATGACAGCACTCTTTTTTCCCTTACAGCAGTACTTGAACTTGGGACTTCCTTAATAGTTTCGTCACCTACATCTTCACGGATGAAAAATCTACAGGTCCTCACACTCTGGCGTCAGTCACAAGCCCTCCGGAAAAAATCGCTCTGGCAGTGTTGCTTCTGTCGCGCCGTTGGTCCCAAGCACACTGTCATTGTATGGCTGCAACAGGGATAAATCAGTATTTTTTAGACTTAAATCAGTATTTAGACTTTTAGCTGGTCAACACGATCGACTTCAAGAACAAAGGGTTAGTAGTTTTAAAACTGTAACTAATTTTTGAAGGCACTATCTTCTGAATTTTTCGGAGACACTGATATCTTCTATATGTTCTCAAGAAATCGTCACGATCATTCTCCGCTTGTTCTAGTTCTTTCTTATGCATCCTAATTAAGTCTTGAACTCGTGCCTCATGCTCGGTAAATGAATGAATGAATGTATGCTTCCGGTCTTTGGTATAGCCTGAATTTGATCATAAAGGAAAACAAGAAGAGAACCCTTGTCGTGATCAAATTCAGGCTATACCAAATACCGGAACCATTCAATGAACGAATTATGAGTGAATGCGTCTGAACTACACAAGGGAATGGCGCTCTCCTGTTCTTCGCGTTCTCTTTTTGTCTTCGCGTGCTTGCTTTCTTGTCTCCTCCTTATAAGGGAAAACAAGAAGAAGAGAACCCTTGTTATCTCTAATCGCACAACCTAGCGGCAAGAAAGGCGAGCAAGAGGATCCACCTCTAACTCCTAGGACGGTCAAAGACGACAACAGAGTTAAGGCTTCCCGTTATTGAATGAGAAGCGCCCTTTCTGAAGGGAAACACATGTGGTCATTCAAAGATATTATGTTAAGGGTAAGTAGGTTAAAGGTGCTTTTCTTACCGCTTTTTATGCCTCTCTCCCTTAGGATGAGAAAGGCATAACAAGCGGGGGAACCCGCGAGCATAACAAGCGACCTACCTCTAAATATGAGCCTTCAAGAGTTTTAAAGGGAAAAACATGTGGTCGAAGCTATGAGCCTTCAACATCGTTGAACTTGGGCAAGTTCAACATCGACATCAAACTTCAGTTGTTTGAATACTAAGTTCTAAGAAAAGCTGCGATATTGTCGTTCGGATCAGTACGAAATATCATCGTTGCAACCGAAAGCTGTACTGTAAAAACGCGAGCCGTTTTCTCTCGACCGTGTTGGAGGAACCTGCACAGATTCAGGGACGTTCGCACTTTTAGTGTCTTTCAAAGGGAGACAACGCTGGATGGGGAAACGAAATACTAGCATATTACACACCATGCCCCGTAAGGATTGGACATTTAACCATTGGAGATTAGGCATTTAACCATTGGAGATTAGGCATTTAACCATTGGAGATTAGGCATTTGTAACCATCAGCCATTCAAAAACCATAACCATAGTAGCAACAGAATCAATTGTCCGTGCGTACCTCACCTGTAAAAATGAACAAACGCAAGTATACGCAATCAATTGGCAAGTACCAATGTAATATTTTTAGTGCTTCAAGAAAGCATCTTCGGGAACCACACCTAGATGATCATACTGCTATTCAAGTAAGAGTAACAGCAAGCCGACATAGAAGTACTTATTCATCTTGGTGTCATAGTACATAGAAGAAGATGGGTACTACATACCGTGAAATGGTAGTAGAAAGAATGATTTGCCTTGACCATAAGCGTTTCTATGCCTAACCTTGACCACGAACATGAAGACCATATTTATAGAGAGAACCTTTTTTTACCTGTCGCTGATATAGTCAACCACAACCATCTTTGATGCATAGAGTTCTGTCGCACCTTTGAAGTTCCAAAGATCACCATGAAGCACAAAGATCGAATGTCTTCCAGTTAATGTTGAATCTTTCTAGGCCATAAGACCTCTTCTTGCTCCGCCAAAGCAGAACAACATTCACTCTGATTTTCTATAAGCCTATCAGTCTATGTTCATGTCTCTCGTCAGCAGACGAGGATTGACTTTATATTTATTCCTCTTTCTCCCCAGAAGATGGGCGCATAAGTACCTATTTCGCCCCTTTCCTTGTGTGAGAAAATCCCCTTGCCGCGAAGCTCCCTAGACGCAAGTTTTCTCCTGGACAGTATGTGAAAAGAAAATGAAAAGATTGTCTTCAGTAGCCGCTGAAGTCTACCACATCGGATGGTAGGCGTTAATCTAACCTAACCTGTCTTCCCACACCGACTACAAGAAAAGCAAAACCTTTGTTCTAGACAGTAGAGTCAAGACGCAGTTTGTTGTTGCAAAAATCCCGAGGACTTGTTGTAACATCATAGATCCTATCCGTCTCAGTCTTCTACGAAATACGACGATGAAGGCCCCTATCTGTGGATCCTCATCTTGCACTAGTGCACTGGCGCCGTCTCGGGTATATGCCGGGTCGGCGCATCGTCCGTGAAATGTGCGACTTCTCTGCGCCCAAAGACCACTAGCTGGTGCGCTGGCCCTTTGGTGGAAGACTTGGAAATTGAAAAAAAAATTGTCCCTTTGTTGTGTTGGACCTGAAGCATTATAATCTTAACGTACGGAGTCAGTGCAGCGAAGTCAGTCTTAGAATCCTTGCCTGTGTCCGTTCTTGTGCATGTCCATGTCATGAAAAAAGTGCCCTACGCTGGTTTCCTCGACCGTTGGTTGTTTGATAGTGTTTTTGTTTTAATAGTTTTTTCATCATTGAACACGACCAGACGTGTGAGCTGCTGTGAGTCTGGTATCTACTTAATCCATAGAACAAGTATCCATAGGCCCAAGTTCTCTGGATGGTATCTATAGTATACAAATGCATCATGACAGGAAAAGGGCAGGACCTGTGGAACGTTGTTCGCCCTCTTGCGGAATTACAAGGCGTTTTGTTTTCTACATTTTTTCAACAAGAAGTCTTACTTATCAAAATCAACTACTTGCTATACACGAGCAACAACTTCTTAACACCACGTGAAAAAGCCTCACCGCAGCATTCGGCGGCAAGGAGAAGCAGAACCTCAGCGGCACAGAAGATACCTGAGCACAGAAGTCACATAAGGTTCGTATTTTTAGCCATATCTTGAATCCGTTTCTTGTTGATAAAACTTGAATCGAATCTGCTGTCTTGTTAGCAACCTGGAACTGTGTAACTCTAAACCTAGACAAGCACCTAAGTTTCAGGTTTCGCGGATCATCATGGGTGATTTGACGGGCAGCGACATGACGCAGAGCGATTTGACGGACAGCGACATGTCGGACTGCGACATGTCGGACTGCGACATGGCGCAGAACAACGTAGAGCAGAACAACGTAGAGCAGAACATCATGGTGCAGAGCGATATGACGCAGAACAACGTGGAGCAGAACAACGTGGAGCAGAACAACCAGAACAACATGGAGCAGAACAACATGGTGCAGGGCGAAATGGCGCAGAACAACATGGTGCAGAACAACGTGGAGCAGGACAAAGTGGAGCAGGACAAAGTGGAGCAGAGCGACATGACGCAGAGCGACACCTGCGTTGCGACGCAGAGCGACATGACGCAGACTCCGAGCCCGAGTCTGACCATTGACGAACCGCTAACACAACAGTCCACACCTAAAGCGAAGGACTATTAAGGCTATCTTCTCTCTTCGTGTCTCTTCTCTCATAGTCTAACAGGATCACTGTACAAACTGGAATTCAGAGTATATGTATATGATATATATATTTATAATTCTGAAGCATGCAGCAAAGGAGTACTCACCTACATCTTGAGTAATTTCGTATACCCGATGACAAGGATATACCTGGAGTGTTTCATGGATGCATTGGAAATAGCTGTAAGTAGACAAAGAAGTATCACTAGCAACAGAACAGACAGTCCTAGCAGCAGAAGTCTTGCAACATTGTACGTAGTTACAACCCTAGTCAAAGGCAATATTCTAGTGGTAATATTCTAGTAGGTGGATTAGTCGAGTAGGCATTTAGGGTAGGCAAGCTGCTGTGTAAGTACTCTATATTAATACGTATAGTGCTGGTTCAACACGACGGAAGATGGATATTAGAGATGATAGCTTTTCTGAGTAGGCAATTAGTGGCTCCGACTAGCATGCTGTATAGTACGCAATACCGTTCTGGAGCTCGATGGCTTTAAGTAGGCAAACGAATATCAGACCTCTACGATCCAGAGGAGTTGTGGAATGAACGCGATGAAAACGATGAAAACGAGATTAAGGCCTGTTTTTTGCTATCCCGTGGGAAATATGCTGTAAGCGGAGCGGTCCTTTTCAAGTACTTTAAAGTGAGGACACTCACACTTCTAAGGGGCACGCAGTGCATCTCACTCAGCTTCTAAGGGGTAGTGAAAAACTAGCGCTAAAGATAAGACGAAGAAGCCAAAAGTTGGCCTCTCAGTTGAACCAGAGCTACCTACGCCGTGGCACCGACTCTTCTACAAAAAATCTTGTGATTTAAGAACCTGGCTGCATTGTTTGTTGTGCTCGCTCGTCTTGTGATATAAGACGCTGCATGTATATTTTACTTGGCTATACTTGACTTTATATGCAAACGATCTCGCGATCTGAGACACAGGCTGTTTATTTTTAGAGCTTTGCAGGCTGGTCCGATAACTCAGGCAGGACCCCCTCTGCTGCGTTTCTGGGTTCCCCCTGCCCCACGCGTGGGCCGAAAGACACTGCGCACGCGCTTGACATAGGTCCCTATCCCCTAGATTGAATTCTCCTAGGTTAACTTATCACAGCAGCGTTTCTAAAATGCTCAGGTTATTGCAGAACAAGAAGATGGCCTCCTAGAAGAAGTCCTCGTAAATATATTACAAGTACGCTCCACATCGAACGGATGGTGTCCCATTCTATCCAATTAGGACAATAAACCCTTTTATCTAAAAAATTGGAAGTATGTCCTTCTAACATGAAACAATGCTGAGGGCCTCCAGGACCCTGACCCGGAGGTGAGAGCGCGCGCAGAGAAGACGGTGCTTCGGCATGTGGAGTGGGTGACTGACCTCAGACGCAGTAGGCTCACTGGCGAACCGACAACCATGGTTAAGGCTCGCAATATTTTTTTCGAGTTTGTTCTCACGTGGAGGTCCCTCTTCTCGGTTTTTCTTTTTTAGATGTAGATACCTTATGTCATACCCCATGAAGAATGGGCACAACACTACTACTTCTACTACTACTCCTACAGTACCTAGGTGGCAGCAGCTGGGATTTGGAATCTAAATCTATTTTAGTGAGTATCGCTGAGGTCTTTTTATGGCATGATTAAAAAGATGTTTTTTATACTCCCCACGCACTGGGAAGCGTCTCCTAGCACCGAGAAGAGGGACCTCCGGTTTTCTTCTCGTTAAGGTCATGATCAAAGGGTTTTTTGGAAACACTTCAACTTGTTTAACATACTCGAAAACTGAAAATAAGCGAGTTACTGACTGAAATAAGGGAGGTAGCTCTGAAGACAGGGCTACTCTACTTAGTTTCAGTAGTTACTCGCTTATTTTCAGTAGATGCTCGCTTATTTCAGTTTATCGAATACATACACTTTTAGACAACCACGACTTGCGGATTCTACTAGACATACTTACTTTGTTGAAACACTTCTGTAGCCAGACCTCGTCTTCATCACATTTAGGGCTGGAATGAGGTCCTATGAACGTCGGGCTTTCGAGCTCTTTTTGGCGCCGGTTGTCTTGCTTCTTATCTCCTAATAATGATAAATAATTATCATACTCCTTAGTTAGATGCCCAACACACTTCATACTTCTTAGATGTACAACAACACAGGATTGAATATGAATCACTATGACTCACTTAGAAGGGAAGCGCTAACTTCGACAAGGCATGGGACCAGCTAGCTGACCGGTGGGAGGATATAAAAGCTAAGAAGATCCGCCCCTTAATCGCGGAAATCCAGAAGGAGCAAACTTTGATCAAGAAACTGATAAAGAAATACGATCCGAAACGCATCAACAGATTAAGGCTACATCACCGTTTTTTAAATTAAGTCTTCTAATTAAGGCTCAGCTTTCAATGGTCATTGGGGTAGGCCAACGCCTAAACCACTAAGCCAACTGCGCAGTTGGCTTAGTGGTTTAGGCGTTTTTTAAATTCAGTCTTCTAAGGACTTACACTTTTTTACTTCCTCCTTCCGATGGAAGGTAAAAATCCACGTTTCCAACTCAAGGATGTTATGACTCTTACCAAGAAGATACACGACCATTTACATCTCTATCCAGAATATTGCAGTTAAGGAGCAGTAGTTCTGAACTAAGTAGTTCTAAAGAGAAAGTACGAGCGCAAATTTAAGAGGCGGGCTCTAGAGGAGTCGGAGTTGAGGCGAGTTCAAAGACGCGGCATGATGCGTGCTATCGAGTTGGCGTATCTGAGAAACCCTTGGGAATTTTATGAAGACATTAGAGATGCTCCCTGGTAAGTATTTGGTACTTATATACTTAGACTTGTTGGCTGTATCAAGACTTGGATATTATAGATACTTAGTGCTTGGTATTCGGTATCAAACATCATCAGCATATTTAGACTGGTTGGCTGTATCGTATAGATTCTTAGACGCTTGGTAGTACCATCACGACAATATACTTACGACTTGGTAAGTAATCGGTATCAACGTGGAGATTATTTGGATTATTTTTATTGCTAAGTAAACCAATTATACCCCACGACTACTACTACTCCTACTCCTACTCCTGCTACTAGCACTACTACCACCACTGCTACTACTCCTCCTACTACTGCTATGGAACGGCGCCAAGTTGTCCTAAGTACTAGTTAGTGCTGTCTTATTTAGATGGAAGCCTCTGCACACGGTAGCCATTAGAGGCATAGTTAGGACTTTACGTAAGTAGACGTGGAAGTAGCATTTCCTGTCCTTGAGCGAAGTTCCTGAAGGTCCTAAAAAGTCATGTCCAAAAATCATGTGGTTGTTGAATGATAATCCAAAGATTGTGCTTCTACTCTTCAGATAATATTCTTCTAAGAAAATCCCTTGCTCAGCGAAGGAGATGTGAAGTGGTACGAGGGCCCACTGTCTCAGTGGCGCAAAAAGCCCTCCTCACCAATGCGAGAGCAGAGGAAAAAAGCTGCCATGTTAGAACTGGTGGAATGGTTGCAGAGTGGCAAGCATCTGCAGACGAAGGATATTAAGGGTGGGCAGAAGCAGAACAATGGTGGTGGAAAAGAGCCGGATGGCACGCATTTGGAGAAGAAACGTGATGGAAAAGGAAAATTCTCTGTATAATGCACGACGGAACAAAAAAGAATACGAAGGAGGCGATGGGGACCTTTGCTGGTGGAAAAGAAGGCATCTTCACTCTCTGAACCATGGCGCAGTGAGGTGGCCAGAACAGGAGGATAGTTCTATTAGAAAGCGGAAATTGATGTAGGATAGATGATGAGGAGTACTTCTATCATAGTTCGTTGTCTAAAATGAGGAGTAGAGGAGTACTTGTACTATCATAGTTCGTTGTCTAAAATGAGGAGTACTATCATAGTTGTCTAAAATGAGGAGTACTATCATAGTTGTCTAAAATGAGGAGCACTATTGTCATCGGCTCTTCGCCTTAAGCTGATGAATCTCGTATCCATCCCTCTCCGTCAAAGATCTCAACTATAGGAACGGTAGCAGGCTTTTCCTTTTCAATATCAAAGGACTTAACAGCTCCAACATCAGAGAAATTCGCAGAACACAGAGGAGATTCAGGGAAGTCGTGGGCCCGACCCGAATCGACTAACATCATCATCATTAAAGGATTTAAGTAAGCTTTTTCAAACCTTGACAACAAGGATCGCGAGCAGAACTAACCGCTGCACCCTAAGTACTGAGGATAGATGATGAGGAGTACTATCATAGTTGTCTAAGAAGGATTGAGTTTTTGAAACTTCTAAATGGAAGCTTCTAGGTGGAAACTACTTCTAAGAGTCATAATGTAGTTATCCCTGTCTGACTGATGAAAGTAGAAATCTAAGATGTAGAAACTAAGAAGTTCTGAAACTCCAAGAATAAGGAATTCAGGAGAAGTGCTTACTTAAATGCTTCAACAACTTGTTGAAGCGTTGTTGAAGCAGTTGTTCTAGATGAACATGCACACCATTCAAGGTCGTGCAACAAGATTTAGATTTTCATTTCTTAGATGTGCATGTAGGTAGAACAGCCATGGCACATGCTAGTCGTGCTTAAGTAGTCGCTCCATTGGAATAATGCACAACGACGCCTCTTTTGGCCATGCCATTGTTTGTAGCTGTTGTTCAACTGCACGACCGTATGTTTGTATCTTCACTCAAGGGAAGGTTCTCTTAGAACAACTTAAATCGTGGCGGTCAACATCTTCATACGGTGTGGTTGGTCATGACCAACCAAGAGATTCCTTTCCAGCCTATGATGCCTGTCATCAGTGTCTGCTTGAAGAGAGAAAAAGAAGTTTCGCGTACTAGAGCAAAAAGGATGATCATAGGATGTTACTGGTTGTATTCTTAACTAGTAATCACGTACTAGTAGTTCTAGTAATTTCTCACAGTACAACTAAATATTACGAGCACTAGTGCGTGATTACTAGTCAATACCAGTTTAAGTGGAGCGATACGCAGAGACTGTCTCACATGATCTTAGCACCCTTTATTCGAGGAAGAAGAAAGTATCTCCACCTAGTTCTACTTTTTAGTGACTGATCATATTACCACAATCTCCATGAACAGATGAAGATGTCGCCAGCGTCAACATACATGAAAATGTCGCGACTGCGGAGCTCCCGCCCAACATCCTAACAACCCTGCAAAAATCCTAACGGTCCTAAGAATATAATCAGCCGGCAGCTCTAGGGACCCGCAACTGCAAAAATCCTAACGGTCTTAAGAATATCAGCCGGCAGCTCTAGGGACCCGCAACTGCAAAAATCCTAACGGTCTTAAGAATATCAGCCGGCAGCTCTAGGGACCCGCAACTGCAAAAATCCTAACGGTCTTAAGAATATCAGCCGGCAGCTCTAGGCCTCTCGTTTCGAAAATGGGGAATCCCCGACAAGGCATCGTGTTCGACAAATGGCCGCTCCGACTAGACGTTGCCTACGAATACCAGTGTTGGATTCTCATCTTATGCCGCTCTAAATACTTACTATATGGAAATCTTCTCTAGTTTCTCCGCAGGTAGTAACCGAAATCATCTTGAGTGGGTAACAAGAACGACCTACACAAGAAGGAATCCACTCAAGCGACAGGTGAAAGAGTTCTTGAATCCAGCGACCACGTTGTCGTACTTGATGTAGTGAAACAATAAGAACTTCGTACTCTACTTCGAAAAGTCACCTCTCCCTTTGATGTCTACGAGGTAGAGAAAAACAAACGTACTGAACATCAAAAAAAGAAATTCGACCTCTAATCATCGCTGTGTCCCTCTTCTGCCTGTCCGTATGCATGCTGCCATGTACTAGAACATTTTCATTTTTCTTTTTTAGATCATGTAGATACCTTATGTCATACCCCATGAAGAATGGGCACAACACTACTACTTCTACTACTACTCCTACTACCTAGGTGGCAGCAGCTGGGATTTGGAATCTAAATCTATTTTAGTGAGTATCGATGACGCCTGTCCATCCACTTCCACATCCACATCGCTGAGGTCTTTTTATGGCATGATTAAAAAGATGTTTTTTATACTCCCCACGCACTGGGAAGCGTAGTATAATCAGCATGATCAAAAAGAGATCATTTTTTTGTTGAACTCCCCACGCACTGTGAAGCGTATCCTCCAAATAACCAAACGGGAAACGGCCTTCAGAAAATAACACCGAGTTTGATATCTAAAAAGGAACTTCAAAAATCAGCTTACAGCACTTGTTTCCAGCAGCGTGATATTCCCCCCTCGTCTAACGTCTGCGGTGTCTTAAAGGGCCGTCTTGCGAAACGATTCACGATATGGGTTTACAGTAGGCTGCACACTTTCTTCTGCGTCGCTTTCTATTTCAACCTCACGCTTCTCATATTCACCATTGGTCTCCTCCCGGATTGGACGGTGAACGAGTTCGTGTTAAGGCATCACTAGACGCCGTGGTCAACTAGAAAACTTTTTTTATAGACTCGAGATACTAATTAACTTACTGACTGACGCGTACCCCTACAATCTAGGTCCTTCCATCATTCTCCTTAAACATCTGCTAGAACAAGTGATTACAACTTTGACAGGAGAGGGACAAATGTGTTACAGGGATCACGACCTGTACACTATAGACCGGGAACAGAATGAGGAGTCACGAAAACAGACGCAACAAGGGAAGGAAGAAATAGATAAACGCGCGCCTCCTGCTATAACCAAAGATGCTATAGTATACCCAGTGAGTGGCAATGGGTACACATCAGTCAGTGAGTCAATCAATCTGTAAATTAGCAGAACAGGCATTACGACTCTTTTTTGACTCTGGTAGCTGGAAACGTTCCTGAGAAGAATCTTGAAGATGAGTACTTTGCTGTCCTTCTGCTTTCATCTAATAGAAGAAATTTATCTATCAGAGAGTTGTAGAAGGATTAGCACTACAAACCTGCACACTTACTTAATTAAAAAAGCTCTTCTACCCCATGAGTGGGCACCACATCAGTCAATCGTCGACTCATTATTTGCGTTACAACAACTCCTCCAATACGAACTTACGACAGATACTTCCAACATCGTGCATCATCTTCATACGACTCTAATATTCTCCGTGTCGTTTGACCTGCTCGATTGGGTTCTGGTCAACACTGTGAAGCTCCTCACCTCCTCGACCATCCTCATCGCGCTTTACATTATGCAAGGAACGGATAAAACTGAATAGGAGAAGGAGCCCTCGAGAAAAAAATCCAGCAACCATACTCATCGTCACAGGTCTTGCTAATTGACAGCTTGTCTGTAAATGTGGCTGCTTTGTGGTTCTCTAGACCATGCACTATAATACCCATTCAGACTCATGCAAACACGAAAAAAAAATCCTCAAAACGTGACCTCTTGCCAGGCACGTCAATCAATTAATCAGTAGAAATTTTTGAACATGCAGTAGTGATGGATCTATCGAACTGAAGGCGAAGTCTTCATAGTCTTCTAGTTAGTGCAGCTTACACCTTGCATCAACGTCCTTCGTGACAGATGGTGAGGCCGCTCGCGAGCGCGACACGTGCGAGGCGGTAGGGCCGCGCGCGGGCATAATAATGCTAATCATATATAAGATATATTCCAGGGCGCGGGGCGACGGCCCCCCCTGGGGGGGCCGGGCGCCCTGGGCCCCTTTTTAAGGCGTCGGCCGGGGGGGAGGCCTCAAAAGGGGGCCCAGTGACCTCCCCCCTCCGCTCCCTTCCAGCTGCCTGCTTGTGCCCTAGGTGCATCCGCTAGGCTTCGCCGCTGCAGCCGTGCCGCCTGTACCCTCCGGGCCCTTGGTCATCGGCTTGCTTGCTCTTGCGACCGTGGCCGCCTTCGGCGGCCTTTTACCCCGGAGGCCTCCCGCCTGCGAGGGTCAGCACAGGCCAGGAGGCCCCTCAGGAATACGCTGAGAGGCCCAAGGGAAGGCCCGCGCCAAGTTTTGACGCCTTCCACCACTAGAATCCGCGAAAAATCCGCACGGAAAAGCGCGCGCGCGCGCCACCACAGACCAGACCGCAGGGGGGGAGGGGGGGCCGTCCGGCCCTGAGCCATATATAGTGACGATAATGCTAATCTATCGAATTCAAGAAGGAGTCCAGGAGAAATTTTTGAACATGCTGGAGTGATTATACAGTTGTAGACATCTTTGAACATTTACTAGTGATCACAGGGTCGTGGACTCGCAACACCTTTTCTCTCATACTACTTCGTTACACTACTAGTAGTAGTAGTTCTACGTTTACTGGTGAGATTAGAAGATCAAGATCCGGTAGTGACAAAATCCTCGTTTCCGATGACATTCCTGCTTCCCCTCAGAACTGCTCTTGATGACCTCATCCCGGAGTTTCGTTTGCTCACTCTCTAATCCAATTCTGGTGAGATTTAAGGAGCGCATCGCAGTAGCCGCTGGAGTCGAGCATATGACATTCCTCCGACTTGGCAAGTGGAATCTATTCCATTCACCGTTGATGCGTGGGATTGAGGTACTTCTTCGCCGCTGTCATGTTGACTGATTAATAAGAGCACAACAACAACTCTAAATATGTTAGGAACTCCTGATCTAATATCGATAAATCCAAAGTAGATTTAGGAGTTCAGGAGACCAGGTTTGGAGTTCAGGAAGATTAGGAAATCTAAAATGTAGGAGAACTTCTAATTACACCCGTTTTTTACTCTAACGACTTCTACTTCATCTAGCCGCTTCTTCTACTAACGAATTCATCCAGGTAATAATTTGGAAAGTGGAAGAACTTCCTTCCGGGTCCGGACTGAAGCCCAACGATGTTTTCCTCGAATGCCACGTTGGCCAAAACGAGCCGAGTCGGACCAGAGTGCACAACAACGCTGGCTCCTCAGCGATAATCAAGGAGACTTTTCAGGTACATCTGAGCATGATCAAGGAGACTTTTCAGGTACATCTGAGCATGATCAAGGAGACTTTTCAGGTGCATAAGTAAGCATAATCAACACACGGTGAGTAGCACTTTTCAGGTACTTCTGAGCATAATTGTCAGCACAGCTACTTAAGCATTTAATCATCAACGCACCACTTACACTTACAAGCGCGATAGGTGAGAAGAACCTCCAACACACGGCGAGTACAAACGACACGCGGTGAGTAAAATCAACTGAGGATAGTTTGTTACTTAGAGCTCTCGATATACTAGCTTGTTATAGATCCAGCAAAACACCACCTTAAATCAGAACCCACACTACATCACTAGTTTGTTAGAACCCTCGATACCTCACTAGGCTGTTATAACCCTCGATACCTCAACACTAGTTTGTTAGAACTCCCGATACACGATCAACATAATTGGAGCTTTTAATACACCAGTTGAACCTAACATGATCATCCAATACGCTCGTCTTGAACTTCACATCAAAAAAGACACTAGCGCTGCACCTAACATTAATGAAGAGCGTCCTCAACCCGACATCAATAAACCAATTGTATTGAACCTGAAATCAATAAACCAATTGTATTGAACCTGAAATCACAAAAAGCGCGTAATGGGGAGACGGGCAACGCCCCGGGTGGCAGGTATTAGGTATGTAATTGCTCCCGCCTTTGCTCCTAGGGTTCTGCATTTTAAACCGTAGGGGCAGTAGCGTAGTTGTTAAGGAGATTAAGAACTCCCCCCTACGCCGGTAGCTACGCGGGAAATATGTAGGCAGGTTCTTCCCGGAACTCGCTCGCGATACAAAAAAGAAAAAAACAACTGTATTGAACCTGAAATCAATACACCAGGTAAACATCGATGAGAACGATCCCGAGGAGCTTTTTACGGTACTCGTGAAGGATCAAGAGCTCCTGGTTTCCAGTGTCTTGTGCAATTACGGCCGACCGAGTTGTGCTAACGCATTCCCATTTGAGTATTCTCTAAGTAGCATTGCGCGGTAAGTATAGATGGACACTTTTTCTCCACTTAAGTGCTTGAAGAAGCGTGGCCAGAATAGTTAAGGGTAGAGCATCACTATCCAGTATCCGGGGTGAGGTATACTAAGTGACTTCCCTAAAAAGGCAAGCTTTAAAACTTAGCTTTCCAAAAATTTCTTGCGTCAATGTTGGCCAATGGTCTGGCTTACGCTATACCTACTCAGGGCTCTTTGGATGCCAATGGCTGCGCTCTCGTCACCATGCTCGTGGCCCTTGCCGTTCCTTGTATGGTCGTCGCTTGAGCTCAGTGGCTTGCTGAATGACTACACCCACGCCGGCTATTGCATTAGCGCGCTTCCTGTTCCATCATTCACATCGTGAAGAACTAGGTGATATGGGTCAGGCAGTGACCGGACTGGTTTAGCTACCGCCTGCCTTTGACGCCACGCACATGAATGACCAGCATGGCCGCCCCATGTCAATAGCCAAACCGATGGCCCCCCATGACGGGTGCTTTTTGTGCGGGTTAGCGTCGGGTGTGCTTTGAGGCAAGGGCGAAAGAGCGAAGCCAACTCGCTGCATTGGTGTGAAGCACATTAAAAAAAACGGGACCCAAAGAAAAGCGACAAGCAAAGCAGTGCGTTTTTCTGGAGTTCCACAACGCCTCCTGCAGGGGTGCATGGAACTGCCCCGTCCGCATCCACCCCTGCGGGAAGCGTTGTGGAACTCCGGAAAAGCGCGCCGTTTTGTTTGGTGCTTCTCTTTGGGTCCCATTTTTAATGTGATCCGCATTCATGCGCCACGCCTCAGCCCTTTTGCTCTTGTCCCAGAAGTGTCTGCAGCTCACAGGGTGGCCCTTGGGCTCGCTCTCCTTTGTCGCATTGCGCCTGAGGTTTCTGTCGGCCCCTCAGGTGGTGGGGTGGGTGTATGTTGGTATGCCTTTCCCGGAGTCGCTCGGGCTTTTCGCTCGGGTCGGTGCGTTCGTGCTCGTTCTGGGGCTTGTTGGTTCTTTCTCCCTCTGCTGTCTGCTAGGCAGTCTCGCTTTGTCGCTGGCATTTTCGTGGCCGGGCATGGCAGAGACATGAGGCGGCGCAGAATGGGTGGGGCAGAGATACTTGCAGCTGGCTTGTTGTGTGTGTTTGCGTTCGGGGCTGATTGGCTGGGGTGTTGTTCGTCTCATTCTGGCGCGCCCCTCGCCGTCGATTGCTGGGTGGGGCTTGCTCTTTCGATTTCTTTGGCCACTTTTTCGCTGCGGGTACTCGGGGCTTCTGAGGGGTTGGCGCACTTTGTGACCGGCGTCAGCCGCCCGACATGGGGAGGCAAGCGGCCCGGTAAACCCAAGCAAGGGCACCGGGCGACAGGCCTGGGACTGGGCGCCCGCTGCATCGTCGGGGGCCGCCGTTTGCGTGGGGGTCGCAGACTGTGTTGCGCTTTGGGCATGTCCGGCTGGCCGCGGGGGATTCGTCTTGCCCATTTCCTCCTCTGTGGTTGGAGGCTGCTTAGAGCCTCTCTCTGCCCGTTGTGCGCGGCCTGCGCCCGGGCTGGCTGGCGTGTGGTTCAATGCCAGAAGAATGGCGAGCGCATAGCGATGGGGAGCAGTTCGTAGTTTTATTTTCTTTGCCAACTCGCTTATTTCGGTTTTTCGAGTAGTTGTAACTGACTGCAGTAGAAGCCGACTAGCTGTAGCTCCCTCTCTCTCCCTCTCGTCTTGGTCTAACACAAGTTGCAGGTCCGCACGAAGGACATTCTGGCGGTTGAAGCTTCGACTGGCCGAGTCAGCGAGGATTTTGTCTACGACGCTAGCGCTTTCTCACAGCTTCAGTTGCAACCGCGTGGTCGTATATGCTATGAGTGTTGGAAATGCATCTCCAAAGTCATCTGGACAAAGAAAATATGAAGGAAAAGAGACGCAGATGATGTGTTAAGTAGATGAATTTCCTATACCTCTAAATATGGCTGCGCGTCAACCCGCTTGAAGAAGAGAAAGTCCCACTTACAAGTGGACTTTGCTAATAAAGGTGGCCTGATTGTACCTACAGGATTGTTGAAAAGGGGTAGACTTATGTCTATGCCCGAAGGGGAGACGCACTAGGAGCAGACATTTGACAGAAGATGTCCTTGTAGTTCGCAACTACTCTCGTCACTATAGTGTTAGTACTACTACAACTGCTCTACAACGTATAACTTGACGCACAGTAGTTTTTTCACGGCATTGTTTTTTCACGAGGACATTGTTCTTTCACAGTATGCAAGAAAGTACCTTATTTTTTCACTACAAGCTCCATGGCCGCAACGTGAAACCCGGCACAGAATGTCAGTACTAGAACAAGAATTCGACAAGCTCATGCATTTGCGGAGCAAAGCCTCGCCCAGGTGCTCCATAGAGGAGAATATCTTAGAAGTACCCATCTCTGAAACTGGAAGTGGAAACCGGAGACTGAAAATGTCACTGGACCGATTTCTTGCCGTAGATTCTAGGAGGCAGAGGAGGTCTCTATCGGAGACGCAATGACGATAGAGGTCGCACAATACTCTGCCAAAGTGTTCACGCAGTTTCTACCCGTCTATAGTGAGAAGAAGGGCAATCAAGGTCTTTACTGAATCCTGCGACTTTCAAAGTCTAGCTATGCTCCCACAAGACATTTGGCGATTCTCACTGTCCTGAAAACGAAGATCCACCAACTCCTTCTATGCATGTGTTGACGAAACCTTTGTAAAATGCGAAAATCAAAGAGCCTTGCTCTTGAGGTTGCATTCTATCAACAGATCTCCTTCCGCCATTGAAATACTTGGCTCTCTCTCTCCCTCTGCTAGTGTAGTTATCGAAAGAAGCAAAGTTTATAGTATGCTCGCACAAGTAGTTATACCTTTTTTTTGCTTTGCTACACACATTATATTGAATTACACTTCGACCACGAAGGCCTGAAAGATAAGAACATGCTGACGTTTACTCTGAGGAAAAGGTGTAATGTTCAGGATGTGTGTCGTCACAAACACTGTCTGCGCCTATCATTGGCGTCATTATACCAGAGTAGTTTATAGCACGCATGGTGCATGGAGTGCATGGAGTAGCATGGAGTGCATGGAGCGCAGAGCTTTAAGGGGCGCAAGAAGCTCCCCCTTTAGCTCCATGCTACTCCATGTGATCCATGCACTCCATGCCATGCGAGCCGTGAAACCTTATAAACTGCTCTGTTATACTATACTACATAACGAAGACACATAGGCACTTAATCGGTACATCCTCCAAAATTCAAAAGCATCTTCTTCTGACCCCATATCGCGTTATTCATTCAATTAGTTGTGGGCCCATTCATTCCTTCGTTTAGTGATTTATGACAATCAGGCTAATAGAATAGTTGTCTCCACCTAACACATACTGATATGTAGTTTCAATTTCTGTACTAGACGGAGCTTTTCTCTTGAATAAAAATGGCGTGCTCAAAATTGCCTTCTTCTTCGTTTCGCCATCGTGCATGCGCGTGGCCGCGGTACACCTACGGTGGAAGCAGCAGTAGCACTAGCAGCCTTTCGTCGGCCAGAGAAACAGGGTGCATAACTTCTTCTTCCTCTGAAATCTCCAAATCCAAATCCAAATCTATGTCCAATCCTCCGTTCTCAAATTCGATGTCGTTTGAAAAGCCTGGCAGTTTATTTGCAATCGCGAGTCGTCCAGCAGTTGCATCCTCCAACATGGTTCACCAAGCTTACTCTTCATCTACTACTGGTAGCGCTATCCTGGACTACGCCAGCAGAAGTGGAGCTGATCAACGCCGTCGGTTCTACTCCTCTTCTTCTCGCGGTAGAAGCTCTATCCTAGCGGCCTGCCCTACTTTCACTACTATTAGTACTAGAACAAGCACGACTATGCTGGCCGATAGAGCCAGTACTCCACCTATGGGTTCACCACAGCAGCGAAGGGGCATGATGATGATTCGAGAGGCGGATGGCGGTGAACAGAATCGACAAAGCACACTGAGAACCATCAGTTAAGACGCATACACCCAAGTAATTAACAATATGGTGCGGCCGTCTAACGAGCGGCGGCACCGTCAGGCAATCAGCCAATCAGCCTTCTATCCGCGTCTGACTGTTTTGGCAGTCTTCCCCGCGGGGGTGGGCTTGATTTTTATCGGCGCGAGCGCGAACACACGGACTGCCACTTGCTTGCGCTTTGCCATTGTTCATGACTTGGAGGACGTGACAAAAGGCCCGCAGGGTAGTGGGAGGCCCTTTTCGTCTCTTATCCAGATACATTGATAAACGCCGAGCAAGCCGCGACGGCGCTCCAGGGTGAAAAAAGCCCCCCCCCGCATAGTCATGCTGCGGGCCCATGCCCACCGGGGTGATTATTTTTCCCAGGTCTGGCCAACTCGTCGAAGGCAATGAGAACAGGCAAAAACACGCCGGCAAGGGGGGCGCGACACTGATGCCGAGGCCGGTGCCCTAGCGGGGTGGCCTCCATGATGTGCGCGCGCGCCGGCCGTTGGCTGGGCCCGTGGGTGCTTGACTTCGGGCGAGCCATAGAGCACCCCGCCCGGCATGCCGTAGCCGTTGAAGGCTCGCTGGCGCTTCTCGGTGGTCTTGCTGCGCGTGAGAATATTGGCGGGGCGGGAGGTGGGCTTGTTCGCTGGCGTCTTCGTTGTGTTGGTGAATTAGTGAGCAAGCCAGCGAGCGCAAAGCCACCCCGGGAGGGCTACGAAGCTGAAAAACCGACGCAGACTGGGCCGGAGACGTGCACACAGTGGTGAAGCTTCGACCCTCTTAAGGTCTTGGCGTCGGCTCTTCGAGAGTGTCGGAGACCGCGGCGCCACGCGCCGGCGTCTAGCGGCCGGCCCACCTCAAGAAAAACAGAAAGCGCGCGAAAGTGAGAGGTGGGCCATTTGCGGCCCTGTTTCGTCGGCCCGTTTGCAGAGAAGAAGCGCCAGGGGGGGGGGTTCGTGGGTTGGGTGAAATTGCAGGAAATACCCCGGACTTGACTGGCAGGCTTCAGCTACCTGGAAACGTGGCGCATGCCGCGGCTTTGTGTCTTCGTCTCGGCGCCTTGTTACCTCGGTGCCCATCACTCCAAGCCCCCTACTTCGTTGCATTTCGCGCAGTAAATGAACCAAGCAGCCAACCACCCGCGATCTGGTGCGCACTCAGTCAGCCAGCCATGTCCATACGCTCGCATGTGTTTTAGGCTCATCTCAGTGGGTGCGCGCTTGCGTTGTTAGTCTTCTGAGAAAGGACTATCTGCGCCCGTCGCCCTCTATTTGACTGCTTTGCTTTCAACCTTTCCAAGGGTCGCCTAGATTGGCGCTGGCTGTTTCCCTTAATTATCAATCTGCATTCACTCGCACAGATTATTAAGTACTTGCTTCTGCTTCGTTTCGAATTCCATTTCCACCAAGTCCTTTTTTTTTTGTCATTCTCTAACTCCGACAAGTACTCAAGTACGCGTGGCCGAAGAAAAGTCCAAGACTGCAAGCACACCTGGTTGGTTCCCTAGGCTGCCTTTTTCTCGGCAAGGCAGCAACAATTCTGGCACCCCTGGCATTGGGAGACTTAGTGAATAGTCTAGCGAAGAACTGCAGTCCTGGTGGCGCTTTAGGACCAGGAAACGCATCTGTTGAGGTCCAGACAGCCTCGTCAGCGACGCAGCAAGTGCACTATGAACTACGATTTTTTTTGTACCTTTAAAACCTCTAGATTAATCCTCAGCATGTATCTCTAAAATGATGCAACTGCGCTTGTATATCGTTTTCCATGATGTAGGTAGGAGAATCCAATGTTGTAGTCTTTGACGGAGAGGGAACGAACTGAAGAAACTAGTGACTTTCTCTCTGGGCCTAGATAGCGTCTTACACTAGTGGATCATGATTGTCTCCGTAAAAGTAGTTCTCCGATACAACACAGAAGATTCCGTGACGCCGAAGAGGATAGGGACTCGACCTCTATCTGATACCGCAAGTCCATATCTTCTTAACACTCTTGTAGTCCTTCATACCCAAGAGGTTGCACAGCAGCTAGGGGGGAACGAAATAGCAGAAGCAGCGGACGCTCTAGCACGGACGGCTTCGACGCCAGTAGTCGGCAATGCGATCGACAGTATTGCGGAAATCTCACTGCAGAGTCATCTAGAATATCTTCCTCTCTTGTGGCTCGCGTCCTATGTTAAGACAGGCATTCTATGTTGTGATTTTTGGACATCATGGGTTTCCTGCATATGCGCTGCAGCGAGTTCTCGACATTTTTCTCACACAAGTTGTTATCACGTTACAGTACGACAGTAGATAGACGAGAGTACAATAATTCCAAATAAAAAAATGCGTCCTCTAAGAACTTTTTGGTCATATTTATTATCAGAGGCCCATAGATAGATCCAGGCCCTCTAACTTTCGTCTTGCACGTTTATCAGCAGCTGGATTCTCGGAATTGAGGACTTTTCTTTTCGCTCCGGTAGTCCAAAAAGGCTGTCGGGAACAAGCTTTGCTGGTCTTCAATCACTTGCACACCCTGGACGTCGAGTACTTGACGACGCTTAAGTTAAGTCGAGTATACACGAAAACTCAAAATATGCGAGTTGCTGACTGAAATAGGACAGGGGGTAGCTGCTTTAGAGGGCTACTCTTCCTTCTCATCAGTATCTCGGTTATTCTGATCAGTTTAGTTACTTGCTTATTTCAGTTTTTTGAAAGTCGAGACCTAAATTTATTACCACAACAAAAATCGCGTTTTTTGAAAGGTCTCGAAATAAAAGTCGCGTAGTAGATGACCACGCTTAATAAGTTAAGGTCTCGTAAGCACACTCCAAGCTGTATCTCAATATTATGTTGTCAGCAGAAACGACAGACCATAAAGAACAATACCTGACTCTCATCAAAGAACAAGCAATATTGAATATAAGTATTTCAGTACAAGTTAGTAGGGATCACTTTAGAACTTAGACTTACATACCTTCTGCTGGCAATGGCATGGAATCAGTTTTCTGAGTGGTCGTCCCATACCATCCCCAGTGTGCCTCCTAAACTCTAGTATAGTGACTAACTACAGCGACTAACCACGTTACGTACTTCTAGTTCTAAGTGGGTACATTAAGCATATATTGACCGTGTACACATATTCTTGACCTAGTTGAATCATGAATCGAAGTCACCGCTAATCGAAGGTGGAGAGATCCAGCAGATCATGAACCGTGCGTTGAAAAGTACGCAGCAGGTGCTGACGACAATATTGTGGAACGTGGTCCCGACTTTGCTGGAGTTTTCTCTCGTCTTAAGGGTACCGCCAACGACCCATCCCTCGGAGCATCTTTTAGCCAGTTTCTACTTGAAAAGTTGTCTCAAAAGATGTAGTTCCAAAAGTATTATGGCTTGCCGGTGCCTCTAATCGTCCTGGGCATTGTCTTCAAACAGATGGGCCCCGCTTCCTCTTGCGTCGTCGCAGCCACCTTCTGTTCTTACTTATGACATATTCTTAACCCGAACAAGATCTCAATATTCATGTTAAATGAGATCTTCATGTTAAAACGACTGTTGATGTAGTTGTCACTTATGATAAAAATTACTCGTAATGATCGTATTTGAAAAGCAGCGCATATGCTACAACTTCTATGTGAGAGGGCTTCTTAGGTGATCGAGTAAGGATCACAACATGAAGCGGACACGTGAGACATGTAGGTGATATAATTGGTGCCTAAAGGGCAGCTGTCTCTTATCCTGATGCCCTCTAAGTAGCCCAAGGCACAGCTTGTCGACGTTAGTATTTATACATAGGGTTAGCAGTTGGCCGAAAATTCTTAAGAGCCTCCTTTAAGAAGCTTCCTTGAGAGATTGGAATTTCTTAAGGGGTTTCTATTCTAAAAAGTTGTAGTAGGTTTTCCTTAAGGAACAAAAATGCTCCTTAAGGAGACTCCTTAAGGGGCGCTTGCAATAAACTTAGGCTAATGCGAATAGGCCCTCTCTTAAGGGCCGGCGCCACCTCCCCTCGTGAGGGCCTTAGCTTGCTAGCTTAGCCATGGCCAGCGTGCTAGCTGTATAGCCCTAGCTAGCTTGCTTGCTTACCCCTTACCCGTAGCTGCCTGGCTAGGTTTGCCGTGGCTAGCCTGCTAGCTGCTTAGCCATAGCTAGCTAGCTAGCTAGGTAGCTGCTTGGCCATAGCTATATAGCTAGCTGCTTAGTCATAGCGAGCTTGCTGGCTGCTTAGGCATAGCTAGCTAACTGCTGCGCCATAGCTAGCGAGCTTACTAGGTAGCTGCCCGGCCCTATTTAGCTAGCAGGCTAGCTACTTGGCCATGATAGCTAGCTTGTTAGCTGCTTGGGCTGGCCATAGCTAGCTTGTTACTAGCTGCTTAGCCATAGCCAGCTTGCTAGCCGCTTCTTTTGCGCGACCTAGTTCAGCAGCTGCTTTCTTAGCCATAGTTAGCTTGCTAGCTAGCTTGGCCATGGCTACCCTGCTAGCTTAGCCCGCCCGGCAGCCAGAGCTTGCCTCTTAGCCTAATCCTGGCGGGCTTGCTAGCTCCGCCATATCTAGCTTGCTAGCTTTCGTGGCCACTCCAGCTCGCTAGCCTAGCCACAGCCAGCTCGCTACCTTAGCCACAAGACAGCGACAGCCTGCCCGCTGGTTTAGCCATGAGGGGCGTCCACGCTAGTCCTTTCTGAACCAGCCGCGCGTCGCTAGCGTGGTGACTTAGGGGCTTGCGCCGTAGTCTTATCTGTCTAGTTGCTAACCTATGCCCAGTGGAGCGGGCCCTTGATGGGCCCGCTTTCTGGGCATGTAATGAGGTGCTTCACCTGCAGGCAGTACTAAGACTAAGAAACTCTCTGTTGATCATAAGAAAGCAAAGTATCAACTGCTCACTGAATGAGAATCGCACACTTTACAAGTTCTCTACGGATGTTAGACTCGACGTCTAGACTGTTAGAACATAAGGGTGTAGTTGATGGTAGTACTCATCAGATGGGGGTCAGGGGTGGATGTACTACGCATTAGAACATAAAGGGGAGCACTCTTTGTTGATGGTAGTACGCATCAGAACATATTAAAGGGGGTGGGAGTGGGTGTTACAACATGATCCTCAACAGTTGTAAGAGCCCAATTGTCTGTGCAACAGCTGGAAGAAGCTCAAACTCGTACTGCAACAAGGAATTTAATGAGTGGGAGAGCGGCGTCGCTAGTTCTGGTCCTCGAGTCCAACTTCCCCTTCAAGCACGAGCATCAATGTTATCAGGGACCACCTTGGAGCACTGCTTTAACCTACATACCCTTCTGTTGTTGAAGCACAGGGAAGGCTGCACGACTTACTTCAACATAAAGAGGGAGTGCTTGCTGATGAGGGATGAATCCTTCTCACGTTCTCTTGTCTAGGATGAATAGGCACCACTGCCAGAGGAAGTACTTCTCACGCCTTTCGTTCTTCTAATACCTTTCGCATTCACGACTGCATACAGCAATCGGCGGCGTGACTTCATGAAGGAGAGCAATAATTATGGCTTTATTTGAGGTTATTCTTATTGCTCCATGCAGGATAAGCTTGGATAATCGTGTTGCATTCAAACGTTTTTGCCTTTCATAAGCATCGCATTCAATTAGTGTTTAGCCTTTAGCCTTCAATTAGTGTTTAGCCTTTAATTAGTGTTTAGCCTCGAGAACATCTTTCAATTTCCTATGCAACAGCAACTCTCTAGAAAAATTGGAACCAGAGTAACTAATGCACCCATGTAGTCGGAAATAGGGAATTGTCGACAGTGTCGGTCTAGTTTCATGAAACACTGTCTGACACAGTGCCTGCTACAGTCTTTGCTACAGTGCTTGATACGTCGGTGCTTGATACAGTTCTGCCTCCTCGTGATAGTGTGTGGCTTAGAGTAGTGTAGGTTCCTATGAGTTTATGATAGTGTAGCTTTCCTCCGGCCCACGCGGTGTGGACAACGTCGCTCCCCCATATCGCTCCCGGGCGTAGAGGTGCGGCAGTCGCAGCTGCGGGGAGGTCGGTGCCCTGCGGGGGCAGCTACCTGATTGATTGGCTGACTAGAGTGGTTTAACTAAGTGAGTAGATGCGCGCGCGCCAGGTTCTTGCTCCAACATCATCACCTTTCTGTTTAGCCAGGTAAACATCTTCAACATCTTCAACAGCAACTTTACTAGCCAACACACGAAGCGAGAGCGACTAGCTTCTCTCGTCAATCTCTCAAACTCTCAATAGTTGTACTTGTACGCACCTCTAAAAGATGCGAGAAGACCGTCTGGCCGGTCATTTGGTGGATAGTATCGTGAACTGCGAAGCGGTAAGGTATTTCTCAGCAGCCCAAAGGGAGTCGCAACGATACGACAAAGAGCTCGCAAAATACGAGGCTAGTCAGGTACTAGTAGAAGTATCTAGTATTTGTATTCTAAGACATCTAAGTAATACTCAAGTTGTTAGTGTTACATCTAATAGGATATCTAGTATTCTTCTAAGAGGACATCTAATAGTATTACTCAAGTTGAAGTTGTTACTTAAAGGGCAAGTTGCAAAATAAGAGGGCGAGTCAGGTACGAGCATTCATCTAAGTATTCTATTCTAAATTATGTAAGAAGCTCGCAAAATAATAGGGCGAGTCAGGTACGAGTATTCTAAGTATTCTATTCTAAATTATGTAAGAAGCTCGCAAAATAAGAGGGCGAGTCAGCTACTAGTATCTTCACAAGACACAAGACACATTATAAATAGCTCGCAAAATATGAGGCGATTTCAAAGCTCGCAAAACATGAGGAGCAGGCAAATGCAAAAAACCTCCGAATTTAGAATGCATGTGGAATGAAGAACGACACTTCCACGAAATATTAGTTCGTAAAAAAAGATCACTGTCGTCCCATCACCTTGATACACTACGTATTTTTACCCCAATTTGCTCAGGTTCAAGTGTTGCAGTCGCTGGCAGCCCTGAACTTCGGACAACAGCTAGTGATCAACTCCGGCCTTCTCTTAAGGCTTCACAGGCAACCGAATCTGTAGTACACACAGGCAAGAACCGAGTGTAACCTAGAAGTACATGCAATCTGATTTCTGAGAGCAACAGTAAACCAATATCATTCATCTGTAGGAGAATATCTCGAGTACATCTACAGAACACGACCTAAGCTATTTGGCTTTTCTGGATAATACGTCGACGACGGAGCTGCACTACCTAAACTACTTAGCGTTTCTGGATGATAAGTCATGTATCGACCGTCCTCTAACTTTAGCAATTATGACCTTGGCAACGTACAACGTGATGCATGGCCTAATGCCTGTCGGTGATGTTGTCGCGGTGAATACGCTCATGCTACAACTAGCGCAGCCACTCTTATGAGGAAGAAAAAACTGTTGCTATTGAGTTCTTCTTTCATGTCCTTCTTGGCAGACTAGACGAATTGTGGTAGTGCTAGTCCTGGCTATATTGTAAAGACACTGACTAGAGATTCAGATTTCACACTTTCCACCCATAACCGACAGTCAATGTTCTAATGCTTGTTTTTGTGAGAAATCTTATCGCCAAGAGCGACCGCGTCAGAGGTACACAAGTGCCATTTTCTAACTTTCAACTTTCTAGGCGGCGCGTACCGAATCACGCTGCAAGGGGTCCTAGATTTACAGCGAATGGAGAAGTTCCTTACCGACCAGAAGCCGAGCGTGCCAGCTATCTCTTCCACTTTATGGCGGAAGTGGTTCTACAGCTCCTTTCTTACTTAGTTCTAGTTCTAGCTATGTGCCGAATCCAACCTTCCGAGCGCCGAGCTTATCCCGCAAAAAACCCCAAGACACCCGACGCCGCGACGAACTGGGCTGCGCCGGCTGGGGGCCCGAGGCCTCCTAGCTTTGCTCGCCAAATGGCGCCTGGAATGTGCTCCGTGGCTTTCCGCAATTTTGCCGGGAAGGGGGTCGCACTTGGCCGCCACTCTCCGCGCCGATACCGTGCCCCAAATGCTTGGGAGCCCTCCAGGGGAACGGCCCCGGGCTGATGAGTATACGCACCCGCAGCGAGGCTCGCTCACATTCGAAACGGCGGCAGACCTTTGGAGCCCATTACGGTCACCAGGGCACGGCGGCAGCCTCGCCTGGTCTCTCTTGTTTGCAGTCGTCTACTGTGGCAGCTAGTGGCAATTTCTGCAGAATGTCGAGCGCGGCCCCTGAGCGCTTCCCTCGAGGGGTCACGGAGCGCACTCACTTTAGAAGCTGCCAGGGCAGTGCGGTGCGGGCTGCCTGGGGTGTCTATGCCTCGCGAGGCCTCAGGAGAGACACCGCGCGCCGGTCCCGGCTGACGAGACTGCGGCCTGGCTTGCCTGAAGTGCGCCGCTGCTGGTTGCTTTCCAGTTTCTAAAGGAGTCGCCGCGTGGCGTGGCTGCCATTTTTCCGCTGGAGTGGACGAGCCTGGAGAGCTACTGCGTGCTCGTTGCGACAGCTGGCACCCTGGTGGAGTTATTGCGGGAGCCGCTTAGACGACAGCCGGCCGCGATCAACTCGGAAAACAAGGACGCAAGGAGCGGCGGCGTGCTAGCACCGTCGGACCAGCTACACGGCCCTGCTTTGAGCTTCGACTGTGCAGAAGCTCCGCAAGTGGCCCCAGCCGTGACGAGTGCGGCGAAGCCTCTTCCTGTTGCGGCATCAAGTGGGCAAACACCTCGCGACACGGCCACCCTTTGCGGTGAGATGACGCCCGGCCATGGCTTGGGGGCCCTATGCGTTGGGGAGGCGTGCCACGGTGCGACGCCCAACGGCGAGAGAGCCCCACGCGCTGGCGAGACGCCTAACGGCTTGGCGCCAAATGGTGAGGGCGCCCCACGTGCTGCCGAGACACCTTGCGGCGAGACGCCATATGGAGAATTTGGCCAAACCCCGCAGCCGATTGGGGGCGCGAGCGCAGCAGCTTGCCCTCGGGCGCTTGGTTTGGATCCATCTTGGGGAGTGTTCTGGTGGCGGTGGGGCCGTTCGGTTCGACCTGGCCAGGGGAGACAAGACTAACGACGAAGCCCGCAAACACCACGAAGAATGGAGACCAGCTACCGGCACCGAAATGCGTGGACGAAGCAGACGGCGCAGAACTTGAGACAGGGGCTGGGGGCGGTCATAGCTCTGCTGGCGCCAGCAACATGACAGGGCTGCGCGGCTGCTGAGGACGAGAAGCACGACCAACAAGCTGGCAACGCAGCTAGTGCGGGGCAGTGGGAGCCTTCTTGGGACCAGCCTGAGGGCCGACAAGACTGGCGAAAGAGCAGGCCCACGAAATGACTACGACTACGTACCACGAAGGCCGGCGGCGTGGGTCAAATATAAACTGGAAAGACAAGGACGACGCAGCTGGCGAGAAAGCTGGCGGCGGGCGGTCGTGGGACAACAAAAAGACGCAACGGGGGCAGGGGGATGGAACCCATTCCGCGCGAGTGGCTCCGCTGTTTTTGTGAAGCATGTGGGACGAACGCGCTCACAGGGTGAAGGGGGGCGGTGCTTTGTTTGGGTGGTGGGCTGTTCTCGCTCGCCTGCATCAGTCGCATGCCTTTGGGTATTTGCATCCGTGAAGGCTTTGCAGTTGCATGCCGGAGATTAGCCGCGGCGCTTTCTGTAATTTGTGAAGTGTCTGTCTCTCTGCCAGCGGCCGTCTAGAGCTGGCCGCGTGATTGTCTTGGAAGTGTGCCATTTCCTTCTAATCTGATCCGCCTTGGGCCAGAAGCTGCCGAATTTCGAGTACAAGGGGGGCAGCATTGAGTTCGAGAGTGTCTCTTTTCGTGCTCTGAAGAATCTGAGTCTGCGGATTCCCGCGGGATCCAAGGTCGGAATTGTTGGCCCTAGTGGTAGTGGGAAAAGTACAATTCTACGGCTCCTTTCGCGCGTCGCTGCGCCTGAAAAGTTAAGGCTTGGCCCATCTTCAGAAGCGGCTGCATCTTTGAGCAGTATTTCCGTACAGGAAACGCTAGCGCATTGCCAACTACATGCTTCGGAAGGTGGGTCTCGGTACTGCATCTAAGCGAAGGGCGGACCCTGGTAGACGGACAGGATCTGCTGAAGCTTGACGGCGAGAGCTACATTATGGCAGGAAACAACTGCAGTACCGCTCGTGTTAGGCTTCACTATGTTGTATCAACTCAACTCATCTAATCAATTCCACGCACTAGTCACGCTATCGCTTTAAATCTTATGGACTCGCTCCTTATAGAGCGCTACTTTTTCTTACATTGACGCAATTATTGTCCATGGCCTGACCCTTTTTAACATCGATATGACGTATCACTACCAGGCTTGCACTGTCAAGACGTATGATATCGGGATGAAAACTACCACGAATAACGTCAGTCAAGCAGCCAAATGGCCATTTAGTTCAAGCATTTAAAACAGCCATCGAGCCTCCCTCTAATGGCACGTCGTATCTCGGCATTGTCCCGCAAGAGTCGATCCTCTTCAACGAAAGCCTTCGCTTCAACCTAGAGTACGCGAAGCCAGGTTGCCCCCAGCATGCCATGAAGCAAGCGTGTAGCTTGGCACAGGTTCACGACGTTATTTTATGGGCAGGACAATCAAACCGCTTCGATTTAAGTCGTAGAGCATTTCAATTGTAGTGGTGTCTGTCTCAGGCTATACATAGTAAGTATTAAGAAAGTGCAAATATTCGGCATTGCGATCATCTATAGCTAGGATAGGTATTCATATATCCAGAAGCAAGATGGAGATACGGAAGATTCATCTTATTTTACGCTCACGGTCGATGGCCTGGCTTCACTCAGTTGTAGGTTTTGAGTTTGTCTTTTTAACAACAATGGGCACGACCTCGAATAGCCATAGCGATACGCAATGGGTTGCGAAGGAGTGGGACGACCTCAGACAGTCTGTGAGGGGAATACTCGTAGAGCTCTAATCATGGAAGCCTTCCCAGATGGATACGATACTATGGTGGGAGAACGAGGCTCGCGACTGTCTGGCGGCGAGCGCCAGCGTATTGCCATAGCGCGCTGCCTACTCAAGAACCCACAGATACTGGTAGTAGACTTAGCGCATTGATTACACATCGGTAGAGCCAGGTCCTGCGAACGCGAAGCGCGGCGCCCGGGAGCCATCTCTTGCGTGTTGCAAAGTGCTGCTTTCGCGGCGTCGTTGGCCTCGGCTCTGCGGGGGCAGCCGCTAGCGAGCCGAAGCTGTGAACTCGCTCGCCGCGCCATCGCGGGCGTTTTTTAGCGCACCGACCGCCCACACGTGTGCCGCCGAAACAAACAGGGCGGCACAATCGTCCTGCAGCTGGATTTTGCCAGGATGGTAATGCCACGGGGTGGCGGATCAGAGAGGCTTTGGGCCCGGGCCGTTCTTCGGGCCCACCTTGGGGCGCGCGGCGTTGTCTGCTGCATGCGACGAGGTGAAGGCGCCTGCTTTCAGGCGTTACAGCTCGGCGGGGTGCAGGTTCATCAAGGAGAAGCACGGGGCACTGGCGTGGCCCCGCGGCGGTGGGCAAGGCGCTTGCAATGGCCTACGTGTCGGGGCGAGGTGCGTGAGTCAACTGTGCGGCCGCTGGGGCGCTGCGCGGCCGCTGGGGCGCTGCGCGGCCGCTGGGGTGCGCTGGGTGGTGTTGCAGGGCCATCCTTCTCGTCTAACTTTTCACCAGCTGTACTACTATAGCATCGGGAGCGGCTGCGTGACTTGGTGGTCGCTCCAAGCAGCGCAGAGGCCACGCGTGGCCAAGTGGTTTGCTGGCAAGCTTCGCGGACGCATACAGCATCCATGGGCCAGGGCTGTGAGTGTGCCGCGCTTCGTATGCATTGCAGGAAGGGCCGGCGGGCATCGACAAGGGCCGCGCGGTCTTCATGGTTGCGGGCAGCCCTCTATCTAGAAAACCAAGCGGGACCCGCCTCCCCGTGCCCGCTCTGGCCAAAGAGGAGCAGGCCCAGGACTCAAGTGACTGCATGGGGGGAGAACTCGCGAAGTCTTGGGCTGTCTAAGTCTCGCCCCAAGGTGGGGAATATCGGCGGCGCTTCGCGATGCATTTTGCCAGCGCTCGCTCATGGGTGGCGGATCCTGGAGGAGGTCCCCGGCGCCACAGCCTTGCCTTGGAGACATGGGGGGCTTGCTGTGCCATGGTCGCCAATGGTGTAAGCTGTCGGTGGGTTCTTTCAGTGAGGAGAGTGAGGCGGCCGCTGTGGTTTCTGGTTTGGCAAGTGTTTCAGCGAGTGTGCCGGCCTGCAAGTATCTGCCCAAGCTTGCGACGCAGTGCCTGGGGTTATGTAATGGGCTGAACAGGCGGGCTGCCTTTGCTTGCACCTTGGCCCCCCTCGTCGTGGGGGGTGCTGCCTGAAGTAGGTGACCGCCCGCCGGGCATTGTAACCTTAGAGCTGCCCAGGCTTTCTGTCTCTCTGTTCTTCTCGCGTGCTCTTTCGCTCTCTCTGTCTCTGTTTCATCTTCGGGAAGCATAGGACCACCCAGCGCTAAGGAGGCTCTTGCCATTGTATGCCAACCATTTCGCACCCACGTGCAACGCCTTCCAATTTTGAACGCCACAGCTTTTCGATGAAGCAACTGCAGCGCTAGACCTTGCGACTGAGGAGAAGTTGACGCGGGCGGTTACGGATTTCATCAGGGAGCAAGAAAACAAAACAATGCTGATCTTATGGCTGATTCTCCTCACTTCAGCATCAGCAGTGGCACTGGATTCACGTTAACTGACTAGTCTAAACTGCAAAATAACTGCTAGCTCATACTAACAGCACAGACTACACCAACACACGGTAGCAGTAGCACCCTCGTCATTGTAGCAGGAGAGCCCTTCTCATTATACTAGCAGGATACTCATACCCAATACGGTTTGATGAATAGTTCAAGGTGAAAACTGTGTGTCACCAAGACGTCTCTCCTTGCGTCATTTTGCAGGGGTTTAGATTCGCGCTCTTTTTTCTACATCTTCCTTGCGTGGCCGGCTCTCTAATCTTTGTTGCTCACCGGCTCTCAACAGTGAAGCAGTGCGACTTTATTCTCTATATCGACAATTATGGCCACAGAAACGCCGTCCCTTAGTGAATATGCGTGGAACTCTGACTCTTCGAAATGAGGCACCTCATCGAGCTACAACTCTAGCTGCATATGGGGATAACTAGAAATGTCTGTAGAGGTCTAGGCCTCCATTTACTTGGGTCATGCAATAAGGGGTTAGTAGTTATAGTGTTCTCAATCCTTATTGGTTAGTACGTCTTGAAGCTGGCCTGGGTCGAGCACAAGATCATGATGATGATGATGATGATGATGATTGATCTATTTCTGAATCCTAAACCAACGCCAAAAAAGTCATGTATTACTACATCTTGCTCAACTTCCAAATGTATTTTCTGTTAGTTTCACTACATCTTCTAGAGCTAGACAGAAAATCTTACGCCACTTCTAAATGTCATACGTTTAGAAGCTATTCTTGTTACTGCTAGTACTCTACTAGCTATCCTATCCTTATTGCTAGGATTCTATTAACTATTAGTGCCATTAACTATCCTATGTATCCTATAATCGCAAGACGCTCTCTACCCCAGCACCATTCTCCTTAGCAAATGCACACGAGCCAGGCATCGGCCTGCACTATCTTCCCTTATTAAATGTTCTTATATATCTGTCCCTTATTGTGATAAGAAACATGTTTACACCGTCTTTGCTAGAAGTTTGCACTCTCTTCACTATCCAATTGCCAGTTTCAGTCTACGTACTTTTAATATTCATTATTTTGAGATACTTCTACAACTGGGTTACAACTTTCTATATATTCAAGATACTTCTATAAGGAAAAGACTTAGATTCTTCTAAAGTAAGGGCGCAGTGGCAGAAATGGGCTCGCATACGGAATTACTGGAAAAGAAAGGCGGTCTCTATCGCAACCTGTGGAACACTTATCATTAAGGCTACCCTGAAGCCTTAGCGTCCTGGCGTCCTTAACATCCTGGTGATCTTAACATCCTGGTGATCTTGCCATCATGGCGTTCTTAACATCAAGGCCGAAGCGTGTAGTTGTCCTTAACATTATGATCCTTCTTGGAGGTACGCAGGGCTCTCCTTAGTCCTTATCATGATGATCCTTCTTGGAGGTTCTTCTCTTTCTATTTGAAGTGACATAGTATACTTCTACTTTCTACTTAGAGTATCATAATGATCCTTGGACGCACCCAAGGATCATGCTCTTTAGGACGATTTTCCCTTTGCGGTAGCTCTAATATTCGACAGGGGTCGACCCTACAAAGTGAGCGCGTCTTCATCTTCTGTAACCTTCGGGGGGTAATTATACCAGCAATTCTAGTAGTAGTAGTACGACTCACGAGAGCTGCAGTACGTCGAGCACCTTTCTGACAGGGGTCGAGCCTACAAACTGAAGAGAGCGGTCGCCTTCCGGTGTGTGTTGGATCAGTAATCAGACGGGTCTGCGCGATCATGAAACAGAGGAATCGAAGGTGGAAGTATACTAGATACGAAGAAGGAGAAGAGGAGCAAGGTAGGAGGAGAAGAGAAGCAAGGAGGAGAAGAGAAGCAAGGAGGAGAAGAGAAGCAAAGAGGAGCGAGAAGGAGAAGAGATGAGCAAGGAGGAGAAGAGTGGAGCAACGAGGAGGAGAACTTCTGCCGCGCGATCGGGTCCACTTCTACTTCTACGAAAAGCGTGCCGACGCAGAACGTCGCAAACCATTAGAGGCGACACCAATCAAAAACAGCTGTAGAGCGATTTCCACAAGAATGCCTCTTCTGGTGTACTAATTCAAGAACTACCACGCGAGAACTACCACATTGGCATCAGGTCAGCACTGCTGTCATGAGTACGCAGTCCCCGGCCACAGAGATGCTATCGACCAGTCATCGGCTACACCTTCTCACCCCGACTACATCTGGCGGCGACGTCTTCTCATCTCGACTACATCCACAAGACATAGAGCACTTATTCCTCGTCAACTACATACTCTTACCCTGGGAGCCGCGCTCAGCATCCTCTTACCCTGGGAGCCGTGCTCAGCTTCTACCTCTTCTCGTGTGAGTGCGGTAGAAGAAGTTCGACTAGGCCAAGAACATGAGAAAAGACGGGAGATCATGAGGAAAGCGGAGTAGTGTAAGTTTGGTGGAATTGACTCGGAGCGATGAAAAATGAAATACACGATAAGTTACGGGGCTAATGCTGTCAGACAGTCTGCTCGCCCACGCCTTGAGAACAATTTAAGCTTGAGTTCGGCCTTGAGAATCAAATTAGTCCTTGATGTTTCAACGTTGATGCTGAATCAAATTTTTAGGCTTTAGAATGAGCCCGGTCCTCTCGCTCCAGTGGATCCTCTTTCGCTCTTCTTATATGAGGCAAAAATAAAGTCCACTTATGGTAAAAAAGTCGGCACTTTAGGATGATAGACAAGCAGTCGCGACACGCTGTGACAAGAAACATATGCTGCTATCTTGCGATGAGAAACCAATGCTGTTATCTTGCGAGGATAAACCAATGCTGCTATCTTGCGAGGATAGGCCAATACTGTTATACTGCATGCAGAAACAAGGGGCACAGCTTGCGAGTAGAATAAAGCTGGAACTTTACGACCGCGGTTGTTCATTTTCAAATGTCAACTTTATAGTTTTTTGATCACGCCATAACTTCTGAGACTACATGATACCTGTTTTTGAGCGCGTGCGTGGTTGTTCCTCTCTGTCAAGAGAAAACTCTCTCTGTGAGAATTGAGAGATCATCCCATTGAGTCGAGAGCGTTGCCATCTGTCTTTGAGCGGTGTCTGTTGCTATATCCTTAGCCTCTGTAAGGTTCAACAGCATACACGTCATCCGGGGCCTTCATATTTGCAATAACTGCACTTTTAGGTTTAGACAGCAGCTTGTCAGAACTCGTAATGGTCGACCGCAAATCAAGACTGGCTACTTCAGTAGTGGCTTAGGTCCAGCGACGCTTAAGGCCTTCTTAGGGAGGATTTGCAACCCTCCCTACGCCAGTTCTGATAGGCTGACTGTAGTAGGAGTCCGGGGCGCTAGGGTGTTCGCAGGTTTTTTCTTTAGGCAGTGTTAGCCTCTCTACGTCCCTCCCTGTTTAAACTTACCCTGACCTTGTTGCCCAATTCTGGTTTTCTTACTTCAGCTCATCAAACGCTGCACTATTCTCCTTCTTTCTCGAAGTTCATTGTTGCGACTAGCACTAAAACTAATGGCTGTTCCTTTTTTGATCACACTTCCAGCAGACTGCCTTGCTTTCGTGGTAGAATGCTGAAAACCCTAGAAACTTAGACCCTTGGGGGAGTCAAGTTGGAAACGGTACCCCCTGCCTTCGCTATACCTGCGAAGGCTGGGGCAAGTCTGTCCAGTTTGATGGCCTTCGTGCGTGTTCAGTGTTCACACACTAACCATGGGCCCCAGCCTCCGCGCGATGCTAAGGATCTCGGTCCTGATGAACTCGGCCCCGATAGTACTCCACTCCCATGATGGTCACCCCTATGGCAATCCCGACGGTGTGAACCTGTTGGCCTTTCGGCTTGGTGTGGTCTTGGTCCTGGTAACCATGCGGCCCCTGGTCTTGGTGGACCTTTTGGCCGAGATCCTTGAGCCGTTTCACGATGTTGGCCGGCTCGCTATCATTCTGCCCAACCTTCCCCTTCTCAGTGACTACGATGAAGGCCCACGCCCTCGCCTAGACCCTGGAGAGCGGACACCGAGCCAGAAACGAGCACGGCAGCCACGAGAGACAGCCACGCCGCCACCCGCTACGGGAAATGGCTAAGGGCGTCTGGTATCAGCTTGATCGGGAAACAGTACAGAGACATCTACGCGGCCAAAAACCCACGCAGGCACCTAGCTGCCTGCCCCTGTGTGCTACTGATGACGCGGCGCATGGCGTGGGAGGAAAGCACCGCTGCCCATAGGTTCCCGCCGTCCCCTATGGCGTTGATACTCATACGCGCCTTGCTTTCCCCTCTAAACGAAGCATCACTCAGCACAGCGCACGCGTGCCGCGCTTCTTATCGCTGAGCGAAATGCCAGGCGGTGCCTGGAACACCATCAAGGGCTCCCCCATGGGTTTGGTAAGAGGATCCGCTCGCTTCAGTTGCGAGCGTCGGGGGCGTAAGAGATACCACCCTGCTGGCCGTGTGATCCTTTATACCGCGTGAAAACGCGCGAGGAAGTGCTGGGCCTTCTTGGTTGGTCTAAAGATGTGACGCCCCCGCCACCATTATAGAAGACTGACTGCCACAGACGACGCGCGGCAGCATCCCAGTCGATGCCTGCTAATCCATAAAGCCCGGCGACTTCATGAGCCGAACCCATTGCATGGCGAAGCGCTACGCGCTCACCCTCGTAAGCATTATCTGCGCCTATGGGTTGCTTTCTGGACTTCCATGCAGCTGGCGCACCTCTGTCGCCGAGAATATTACCGGGGCAGCTACGTAGTGCAACGGTACAGCCCGCATAACCTGCGCCAGAAAATGCCGCGCAATCTCTTTTGGCAGTCTGCTTGTCATTATCGAGGGCCCCCCCATAAGTCTGGCGGGGTTCTCCCTCTCGGGCTGGATTGTACTCAACCCCGCAGGGCGCTGCCTGTCGCATGTACCGTAGCGCCCGCCTTGAGGCTGTTGCGACTGCTGAGGCCGCAGCCGTGACACGTTTCGCGTGGGGTAGGCAGTCTGGCTGTGCTTGTGTAGCAATGTGCTGCGCGCCTCTTATGAGACAGCTACGAATTGGGGAGCTTGTACCCTCTGCGCCTTCAGGGTGATCGCCTTAAACACAAGGAGACCGGATAGCCCTAGCTGGTTCGGCTTTGGGCTTTTCGCCTAGGTTCTTGGTGGATTGCCTTGCGCCAAATTTCATTTTTTCCTTGGGCTCGCTCCCTCGTGTGTGACAGTCGTACCCTTAGGCTTGGCTGGAGGCCACGAAGTGCGTAATGAAGGAGAACGCAGACTCATGGCTGATCTCGTAGGTTCTGCTCTGTTGGTGTTAGTCTATCGGAGATCATTAGTGCTAAGGGCTTCCCGCGTGAGCTGCTCGCGAGATGGCCGGTAGCTCTTTGGCTAATAGGTTAAAAATACCCACCCACCCTCGCCACACTTAAAACAGGGCAAACAGACCATCCTTAAAAAGATGAAGACGGCGGCTAAAAGTATAAAACTGGCACGAATGAAAACCGCGGAGCAACTGGCTGAAACAGTCTGGGGCCCACCAGTGGGCCTACGATTGCACCACCAGCATGCGCAAGCTATCTCCGGGCAAAAAGCTGGTCGTGACAATCAGGGAAATCCATGGGCCAACCACGTGGCTGAAGCCACGCGCTTCCCCCGCCGCCTCTTCCTGAGAGCCCCCGAGGATAGCCGAACACGCACCCAGACCGGGAGCCCGCCTCACCTACGAGAGCTACTACTTTCGCCACCGGTTCGCAATGTGATTGCGAACGCAGTAGAGCGATTAGTTGACCTCACTGGCCACCCAGATACCTCCTTCAGTTCACGGAGCGCGTGCCCAGCGGCTTCAACGTTATCGCCAACGGCGACACGACAGGCGTTTGGAAGTACAAGGGAACCCCACTCATGTCACCCCGGGAGCGGAAGTGGCGGACTTCTACCGCAAAGCAATCTGCCTGCGGCTATCGCCCCCGACTTCGATGGTGGCTCACTAATCGCAATCGTCAACATTAGACTGTCGAGCAAGATGCCACGAAAGGACGCTGCAAGGAGATCGCCCGCGGCCTCTTGCAATGCCAGCCGGCCACTGTGCCGAATGACGAGGCTACCGCAGAGAGACAAAGGACCCGCCTCCCCATTGACAACAGGGCCAAGGGCTTGCACAGTAGAACCACGGAAAAGCCCGAACTCCATGGCACGCGCAAGGCCCAAGACCTGGCCGGCGTCTGCCTTTCTCTTACAGGCCGCGAGACTTCACATCCCTCATCCCCAATGGGACAGACCCGGAAGCACGCTCGCACTTTAATGCGACAAGAGTCGGCTACTGCCGCCACTGTCACAACACTCGAGGAACCTCGCCACACGATCCCCAAGCTGGCGGATGCACTCTCTGACCCCCTCGGCTCACTCAGCTCGGACGTCGCCACCACGCCAGGCCAGCCGCTTGAAATGGCCCCGGGTGACATCTCTGAGGTGTGCCACCTTTTCGGAGTCGGCGGCCTTAAATTTATAAGCGCTCGCTGCCCCTCTCATAACGGGACACGACCCACAAGCAAAGGCCTACAGGTTCTGGATAAGCTACACGCTTACTACCGTGGAGGCTGAGCCATCCGCGCTTGCATTCTGCTGCCTCTCGGAGCTCTTCTGGGCAGTCTGCACCTTTTTCAAAGTGCTGGCGCTGGCCTACATCGACGGCCAGAACTACGCTGCCGCGACAGCGCTACAGATAATCGCGGCGGGAGCCTTTGTCCATCAGCTGGCGACTCGCTTAGGCGTCCCACTCTCTGAGAAGCCAGCAGCCGGCCAATTACCTGCAAAAAGCGACACCCTCAAGGCGTTGGGCCTCACTCCTCTACCACTACACTCGAGCCGTTGACCGCATGCGCCTCACGCTCGGGCGGCCGCCTGCTTTCTTTCATTTCTATGAGACAACCCGCCATGCCTTCGATGCTGTCCTTGCACAAATCCACGAAAAGGCGCCCACAATGAAGGACCTTCAGAGGCTCGCGGGCGTCGCCACTTTCGGCACGCAGCACACGCGCACTAGGATCGGCATGGAACTCCTCTACCCGCTCTACAAGTGGCTTGGCGCGGCACTCTTTCACATCTTAAAAAAGTGGACGAAGCAAAGGAGCTGCCTCCGGCTGAACGTCCTCGCGCTCCAGCGCCTCCTCGTCCTTGCGTTGCTGCAGGTCTTCTATGGAACGACACCGGCACGGCTAGCACAGTCTTACCTTGCCGCCGATGCCTCCACTGGCGGAGGCCTGGGTGGGGAACTTATGCTCGGCGCTTTCTTCATTCACTCAGCCGGCCGGCGTGAGGGGTTCACCTCCTTCCTTGTCGGCTGATCACTCATCGAGAACACTATCGGCAACTCCATAAGAGTCGAGATCTTAGAGGCTATGGCGACACGCCTCGCCCTCCCAGCATGGGCATCCGTGCACAACTTAGCGCGCATCTCCATCGACAACGTCACCCAACTGGCTGCGCGCGTAAAGATGGCGGCGAGGTCGGCCCACTTTCTGAGCGTCATCACTAGCGCTGCACCCCACACGGCCACCACGGAACAGCGCGCATAACATTCTACCGCGATGCTAGCGCGCACTTGCCTTCTCTCGTGAAGGCTGCGCACACTGGTCTGGTGCAGGCTACTTGTGCGTGGACTCATCTGCCCGCCTACTCCCGATCGGTGGAAGCTCTTTAAAACACTCTAAGGAAAGCGCCGCTACCGGCGGTTGCGGACGCTCGTCCCGATGCCCACACTAAGAATATGCGCGTGTCTGTATAAGTAACCGCTTCGGACTCTGTGAGAAGGACGAATACCCGAGAGATGTTTCTGCTTTGTGAAGGAAGCAAAGTGAGTAGATGTTCAGACTTTGTAAAGCTAAACTACCACAAAGGCGCGACCT